CTAAGTGAATCTGGCTTCCACATTGACTTTGCTTGTTGGAAGTTCACAAAAGTTGATCACGTGACCCCTGAGGCCCTGCAACCATCACAAATATGAGTCAGTTGCCAAGCATATGAATTTTGATCAAGCGGCCATGGCGATGCTGCAAAGATTTTAAGTCTGAAAAACGGTCATAAGTCACTTTTTTCAGTGCCATTGTAAATTTGAACAGTCACTAAACCAACTGGTGTAAGTTGAGGACTACCTGTATTTCCAATGGCAGCTTTGGTTTCTAAATTATGGCTGTTTTGATTAGTTATAAAGTATAATTGTCACTTTTTACAGTTGCTGTTTCCATAATATCAATGAATGAATGAATGAATGAATGAATGAATGAATCAATCAATCAATCAATCAACCTGTTAATTATATGTTTGAAAGCCACAATACCAAAACAGATTGAAAACTGAACTGACAAATTGTCAAGCATTTACAGAAGATGAAAAAACCAGCCATAATTTAGAAACCAAAGCTGCCATTAGAAATACAGGAAGTCTTCAACTTACAACAGTTGGTTTAGTGACTGTTCAAAGTTACAATGGCACTGAAAAAAGTGACTTATGACCATTTTTCAGACTTAAAATCTTTGCAGCATCGCCATGGCCGCTTGATCAAAAGTCATATGCTTGGCAACTGACTCATATTTGTGATGGTTGCAGGGCGCCAGGGGTCACGTGATCAACTTTTGCGAACTTCCGACAAGCGAAGTCAATGGGGAAGCCAGATTCACTTAGCAACCGTGCTACTAACTCAACAACTGCAGTAATTCACTTAACAACTGTGGTTAGAAAAGTCATAACATGGGGCAAAACTCCCTTAACGAACGTCTTGCTTTGCCACAGAAATGCTTTGCAACAGAAGCTGGGGTTGTAAGTCGAGGGCTATCTTTATGCAAGAGAAAAAGCAAAGCCTCTGAAAGGAGGAGCATGGGTAAAGCATCAAACTCTTAATGCCAGCTTGCTTGCAGGACTTGTTCACCTGGGCTGCAAGCTGCCTTTTGTCTATTTCCACAATCACAATCACACAATCCTCTTGGTTTCACTTTCTTCCAAGCAACTGTACGAACTTTGCAAATGAACAGGTGGTGTGGCCTGCCAGCAGCCAAAAATCTGGCAGCAGATTTGGACAGTGAGGAGGTTGGGGAGGAACAGGGACCAGTCCTGGAGTCTGGGGAAGGCTTTGATGAGGGCTCTGTGTCGGAGGCAGAGAGGGAGCCAGAGCAGTATGCTAGTTATCAGCTGCCTTCAGAGTCAGACATCAATGAGGCAGACGAACAGCTGGAGCCTGTTCCCAGTGTGCGCATGCGCAGAGTTGCCAGATGAAGGGAACAGCTAAAGAACAGGGGTTGACTTGGGAGTAAGGCCACAGATGGACGCTGAATGGCCCCTCCTAGAGGAAATAAAAGAGGAGCGAAAGGGGAGTGGAGTTTGCAGGAGACAATTGGTTCGTGACTCTCCAAGACTCCTTGCCAGGTTTTGCAGATATCGGCCTGTCAGCTTTCCAAGCCAGATAAGGTCTGTGACTGTAAATCCTCCCTCGAAAGACTTTGCTGGATGTGAATGAGCAGAATTCATAGTAATTAAATAAAAGGGTCAGAACAACGGGTTGCTTTAATGAGTAAACCTGAGTATTTTGTAAAACACATTTGAAGATTTTACAAGCTCTCTTAAGGTAAACGTTCCTAAGACAGAAGCAATGTGGGTTTCCATGATAAGAAAGCTCTTCCATACCTGATGTGCTGGTGACACTTAATTCACTGCTGGAGCTCTCCTGTGATGAGTTTGAAGTTCTTTTGTGTTCTGAAGCAGGAAAAAAAAAAGGTGGGGGGGGGAAGGGTGAGTGAAGCATGTCACCTTATTTTCATTGCAGCATCTACAGACTAATTGAGAGATGAGTAGTAACACTAAACATTTTATTCAGTCTAGATAAATTCTTATATTATTACCTTGGGTTGACTTAGAGAATTCGTATCCAGAGTACTGTAAATTGCTTTGTGTTAGGATAATCTGTACTATTTTATCTAATTTGTACAAATTGTTATTTTACACCCTGGTCTTGTATATTAACTTCATGACAGCACAGCCATTACCCAAAATATCTAATATTGGTCTCCAAACTATGCAAATACAGGATATAACACAGGAGAAGGAAGATTTAAAATAGTCTGCCTTTAAACAAAATGTTTTACAGCACCAACTTAGCTTATATTCGGAGGGCTTTGTTCTCCCTGATATTGTCTATACGACAGTATCTTATTATGTTCATGTCAAATATAATCATACACATGGAATCATGACTAGTTCCCACCCTGTTCTTTAACTACTGCAGGACTAAGTAGCAATTTTCTTATATCTAAGAAGCAAATTCACTTTAAAATTCAGCTGCAGCAAACACAACTTGGTTGTTTTGGACAAAGCAAGCTCCTTCTTAAGCATTGCTGAACGGTATTTCCAATCCAGCTATTCTGAATATTTGGATTAATCAGAATCTTTTGCTGAATGAGAGATAGGGAGATAGGAGATCCCAAGAGTTTAGATCTAGAGAGTCTATTCGGAAGCATCCGCTATTTTTTTTAATTTTATTTGTCTTTGCATCTAAGTCTATAGTGAATACTAAATATAGTATATTTTTTCTCATTTACCCCCAATTTAAGATTGCAATTATGAACCAGCGTTGGTTGTAAGATACTGTAGTGAATAAAGAATATGGTCTTGAAAGACAGTAAGGCAGGGCCCCTCCCCCTAATTCCTATGAAGTTAAAAGCGGGAGAAAAGGTAGCATGTTGAGGCTTGCAACATCCTTTTATTAAGGTTGTTCTAATAAAAGTAGAGTTAAAAAAAGCTTTAGGTCTGCACGGTGTCTGTGACTAGTTTGCCCCCTCTTTTATCTTCATGCGAATTAGAGAGGAGGACTGTCTAAGGTGTTTTCGGAAACCATTTTCTTGGCCTGGGCACAAGTGTCATTTATCTGATCATGGCATTGGTAGTGGGTCTTCCCTCTGTCCTCCAAGACCATCTTCATTCACTACACAGTTATAATATAGATAAATGATCAGAGTCCAGAACCATGAAGTTCTGACTAGCAGAAGAAGCAATACATCTGTGACAGTGATATAAGACTCATAGCTATTTCTACCATTTTACCTGGCTTTTGTCTTTGAGACTGTGTGTGCTTTTTCAAGAAGGATGCTTTGGTGAAACTATAGTTTGTTCTAGTTGGATCACGATGACTACCTGCAAAAACACCATTAAGTTGTTGTATAATTGCCGTTTTATCACAATATACCATATGTTAGATGAAAGCAAAAAAAAAGATATAAATATTGAGAGTGCTCTATCTCTATTTGGGTAATTCTCCTTACAGCTTCTTTGTTTTAAGCAGAAATATGGCTGCGTTGTGTGATGCATCTTAGCCAGAAGAATGAAAACTCATCATAATCAGGCTTGCACCAAGGAATACATTCTGATCCACAGCTGTCTTCTTTTCAGAGACTTCTAAAACTTAGTTACATTCAAATATATTTCCCTCACGTATGCTTGGGGAAGACAAAATGAACTATTGTAACACATCATCCCCAATATCTGGGGTACATCATACAATAGGTTTAAAGGCCCACACAAGAGACATAACATTTTGTAATACAATAGAAATACATCACGCTGCTGTATCTTCTCCCTGTTCTTTTCCAAACCAACTTTATTTTGTAGGCTCATCTTTACATGGATCTACTTGAGTTTCTGCACAGGATCTAACATTGCTTCTTTTTAAGCTGTCACCAAGAGAAGCCCCTATCCTTTTTGATAAGAATGAATGAAATCTCTTAATAATTCTTACCTGTGTTTTTGTTGCTGAGCACTATTCTGTGCCGCCACTGAGCTTCAGAAAGATACTTGGAGAGTTGCTGCACACGGCTGTTAAAGGTCTCCTTATTTACAGATAAATTCAAGCTATCTAGCAGAGCCAGTTCCATCGTAGGGATGTGTCTTGAATCCCACACAAAAGAATCCTCAATTTCTTTCAGATGCTCCATGAGCATTTTGAGAAATATTTCCAAGGCTTCCTCATCCACTAGAAATCCACATATATTACTGGTGAAATGTTTCAAATCCAAATAGCTCAGCCCAAAGGAACCACAATTTATGTTGCTTGATTCCAAATTGAATAATGCTTGGTTGCTCTTGGTTGCAGAGAAAGTGGGCGCATGGACTGTCATCTCAGGACTGACAGAGTGCTGAGGACTTGGTGTGGTGGATGAATCTTGGCTAGCACAACGCTCTGCTCTCTTGCCCAAATGGCTTTTTTTCCTGAAGCCAGCATCTTCTGCATTATCTTCTTCTTGTGGACTGACACCGTAGAGATCACTTGAAGAAACAAAGAGCAAAGAGAATATATTTTCCAGGAGTTCCAACCTTAGAGGAGCAGGTATGCTTCTTAAATAATTCTGACACTTGGAGAGATAGTGAGGAAAGAGACTTGCATAATCTGTATCTGTGAAGACAAAACAGTTAAGTGAACAGATTCAGTATTTTTCTCCAATCAACAACTCAGTTTGAGAATAGCTGAAATAAATTTGGCTGACTTCCCCATAATGTAGTTCTCTGTGATAAACAAACATTATACCCATTTCCTCATTTTCTATCTTGTATGAGAAAAATCCTACAGCCTTGGGATCCTGGAAGGAGCTATATCAGTGGTGGGTTTCACATGTTGTTACCAACTGTTTGCCCCACATGCACGGACTTTGCGGGTGCAAGCGCCCCTTCCACACATGCACCCAGCCTTCCGCGCATGCACCCATCCGCAATTTCTGCTACCGGTTTGGGTAAACCAGTCTGAACCAATTGAATACCATCTCTGAGCTATATATATTCACCCCAAGGCTGCTTATGTGGACTAAGCTAAATAAACACAACCAGCCCAAATACAGCTCTGAGAATTATTCATAAGGAAGTGGAAGATTAAACTGTAGAACCTTCCTTGTTGTACCCTGGGAACTGGGCCATAGCTGTAGTGGGAAAAGCTGATCTCAATATAATGAAGAATATTCTGAAATTCAGGGGAACCTGAGCCCTAAGCATCTGATTCTTCTACTGTTCTTATAAACTATATTTTCTGCAAAGCAGAAATCTCTTCTGAACTTTAAAAACTTAATGTTGGACCTTTTTATAGAAATGCCCATACATTTTAAAATTGAGATTTATAATTCATTAGACTAAAGATTGGGAATCTACAGGTTGCCATTTTAGTGTGCACCAGGTTGAAGAAAGTTGGGCTAAATAGTATCATTTAATTAGAGAATGCAACAAATGATGTGATCCATGATGTTTTTTCTGCTGAATGTGGTTATTTTCTAATTCTATAATTTAGTGTCACTCCCCAAAACTTTGGACACCCCACAAATACATAAGTTGGATAAAGGAAAGAAAGTACAATATTTGTGTACAAGGGAGCTGTGGGGGTGCAGTGGTTAGAATGCCGTATTGCAGGGTAACTCACTGCTCACAGTCAGGAGATTCTGACCAGCTCAAGGTTGGCTCAGTCTTCCAAGTCATTAAACGAGGACCCAAATTGTTAGGGCAATATGCAGACTCTCTAAACTGCTTAGAGAGGACTGTAAAGCACTATGAAGCAGTATATAAATCTATGTGCTATTGCTATCCAACGTTATCATCAGAATGTGCTGTAATACTAGAACAATAGATAATATTTGCAATGACTAACCCTGAGTTCTCACTGAATAAAATTCTGAACATTCAAAACAAAAAGTTCACTTCAAATAGAGCTAAAGGCAGGATGCATAAAAAAGCAGCATAAAATTTAATTACAGGTTCTACAAGACCTGGGTAGAGAAGTTGACTGGGAAATTCATTCTTCTCCAGAAGTTTATGAGGGAGCTCAGTGACAAAGTAGTTTGCACAGTGTCTGCAGTTTGAACCTCTGTGTGATTTGACACATAATGCATAGATGGCATACTTCATGGCACAAAATGCCTTGTAAAGAGTAAGATTATGCTGTTGACTCAAAAGGCGAACATCTGGCATCACTGCTGAATCTAAAATAGAAGACACACAAAAGCAGACATTAGTTAACATTGGCATGCGTGATTTTTAAGACTCAACAGCTGATAGCTGATAAGTTCATAGTTTTAAAACAAAATCCTACAGCCTTCATCTCAAGGACCAGAGGTTTCTTTGGTTTTCTTCTGTGAAAAAGGAGAAGTAGTTTTGATTTCAAAGCGGGAAAGTTCATGTTTTACCTTCCACTATCCTTCATCATCCAAAGCTAGTGTTTCCTGGTAGTTTCCAAATTCAAGAAGGCCTCAAAAAAGCCATAGCAAGGCTAAGATGAGCAATACAACTTTAAAACAAGGGAAATAGGACCAAACATATTTAAGTAATAAAGAAGACATTTTGGCCAACCACATTACAATTTACAATTACATATATTTACCTTGAACTTTTGTGTACTTAGTTGGGATTTTCTGGAAAAGCTCAATTACTGCTTCCTCATTCAAGGCTAAGAGGTCTGTAAGTTGGTACAGAAGGTAAAGGGAAGAATGGCACTCCAAACTATGAAGATGCTGCAGAAGAACATTGTCCGGGATGCAATTACTATAGAAGAAAGCAAGCATAGTTTAAATATCAGCAAACGCTGATTTCACCTCTGGATTTTTTTTCTAGATAAAGATACACAACATTCCCAGTGTTGATTTTAGTTAGTCTGACTAGTGTCTTTTTTAGCCCTTAGCTTCAAGAACAATTTAGGCAACATGTAGAATACAAAAAAATATTAGTGACAAAGGCAGACCTATATATATATCAGAACAGCCACATGGCAAGATAAGCAGCATATAAATTTAACAAGTAAATAAATAAATAACATACTGCAGTTCTACAAAATCGTTTGTTCACTTAGCAGGAGCCTACAGAATACATATGATGCACCGACAATTTAACCCTGCAATACAACTACACCAAAGGTTGACTCCATCACATTACTTATAGGATACAAATTTGCTTAAGTAAGCAATGATGGAGATAGATACCTCCATAGATAACAGAAACAGAATAATTAAACCAGCATAACAGAATGAATGCATGGAGGAATGGATGTATCTACTCTAGTAAAGAAGTATAGATGAGAATTGCAAGGATTGCAACTATACCCAAATACAGCTACTAGCCTT